ATTAAAACACATCTTTGTATCATTAAACACATGTTCTAGAGCATAAACAAAAGCAACACACCTTAAATTCATATTCTACAACAGTCTTTTGGCTATCCAGCCTCTGTGTCTGGTCTCTCCAAGCAATGTTGGGGTGGGTTCCCTCTAATGGTATGGGTCTCAAGCTGGATCGTTTTTTTGGCTGGTCACTCCCATAACTTCTGCACCATGTTTACCCTGACATATCTTGTATGCAGGCAGGACAAATTGTAGGTCAAAAGTTATGTGGCTGGGTTGGGGTCCAAATCTTTCCACTGGAAGTCTTGCCTAATCACAGGAGATAGCCAGTTCAGGCTACGTATCTTCATTACTAGAAGTTTTAGCTAGGGTCACCCTCATAGATTTGTAGGAGTTTTCCATTTCACTAGGTTTCTATCTCATCCAATAGATGCTCTTGATTCAGTTGTCTCTCCAAGCACTCCATCCTCCCTCTACCTGGTCCCTCCCCCTTTTCCCATCTCCACCCCCTCATCCAGACTCCTTCCCCACTATCCACCCATGATGTCTATTACATTTCTCCTTCAAGATGAGATTCATGTGTTTCCACTCTCCCTGAGTCTTCCTTATTGCTTAGATTTTTTGGGTCTGTGGATTATAGCATGGTTATCATTTACTTTATGGCTAAAATCCACCTATAAGTGAGTACATACCATATTTGTCTTTCTGTGGCTGGGTTATGTCATTCAGGATGATCTTTTCTAGTTCCATTCATTTGCTGCCAAATTTCAGGTTGTCATTTTTTAATAGGTTCATAATACTCCGTCGTATAAATGTACCACATTTTCTTTATCCATCCTTCAGTTGATGGACATCTAGGTTGTTTCTAGTTTTTTGCTATTATAAATATAGCTGTTGTGAACATAGTTGAGCAAGTGTCCTCCTGGTATGGTAGAGTGTCCCTTGGATATAGGCTCAGGAATGTTATAGCTGGGTTTTGAGGTAGGTCAATTCCCAATTTTCTGAGAAACCCACATATAGATTTCCATAGTGGTTGTACAAGTTTTCACTCCCACCAGCAATCAAGAAGCATTCCCCTTGCTACACATACTCCCCAGCATTAGCTGTCACTTGTGTTTTTGATTTTAGTAATTCTGACAGGTGTAAGATGGTATCTCAGAAGTCATTTTGATTCGCATTTCCCTGATGGTTAAGGATGTTGAACATTTCTTTAAGTGGCGCTTGGCCATTTGAGATTCCTCTGTTGAGAATTCTCTGTTTCTATCTGTACCCCATTTTTAAATTGGATTATTTGGTTTGTTGATGTCTAGTTTCTTGAGTTCTTTATGTATTTTGGAGATTAGTCCTCTGTCAGATGTGGGGCTGGGGAAGATCTTTTTCCTTTCTGCAGGTTGCCATTTTGTCCTTTTGACTGTGTCCTTTTCTTTATGGAAGCTTTTCAGTTTCATGAGGTCCCATTTACTAATTGTTGATCTTAGTGCTGTGTGATTGGTGTTCTGTTCAGGAAGTTGTCTCCTGTGCCAATGTGTTCAAGGCTATTTCCCATCTTCTATTCTATGAGGTGCAGTGTATCTAGTTTTATGTTGAGGTCTTTGATCCACTTGGACTTGAGTTTTGTGCAAGGTTATAGATATGGATCTATTTGCACTCTTCTACATGTTGACATCAAATTAGACCAGAACTATATGATGAAGATGCTTGTTTTTTTCCATTGTATATTTCTGGCTTCTTCAAAAATCAGGTGTCCATATATGTGTGGATTTATATCAGGGTCATCAGTTCCATTCCATTGTTCAATCTGTATGTCTTTATGTCAATATCATGAAGTTTTTAATTGCTCTGTAGTATATCTTGAAATCAGGAAGGGTGTTACCTCCAGACATTCTTTTATTGCACAGGATTGATTTAGCTATCCTGGGTTTTTGTTTTCCCATATGAAGCTGAGCATTGTCCTTTTAAGGTCTGTAAAGAAATATGTTGGAATTTGAATGGGTTTGCATTCAGTCTGTAGATTGCTTTTTTTTTTTTTAGTTCCATTGGTCAACATTACTTTTTCTTTCTCTTTTTAAATTTAAATTAGAAACAAGGTTGTTTCACATGTCAATCCCAGGTCCCTCTCCATTTCCCTCCCCTTCTCCCATGCCCTCCCCCCAAACTCCCTAACCTGCTTTTAAGACAGTATTTTTACTATGTTAATCGTACTGATCCATGCTCATGGGAGATATTTCCATCTTCCAATACCTTCAACTTTTTAAGTTTTGAATTTCTTGCTATACAGGTCTCTCACTTGCTTGGCTAAAGTTACCACAAGATATTTTATATTATTTGTGGCTATTGTGAAAGGTGTTGTTTCCCTAATTTCTTTCTTAGACCATTTATAGTTTGAATACAGTAAGGTACTTATTTTTATTTCAGTTTATTTTGTATCCAGGCACTTTGATGAAGGTGTTTGTCAGCTGTGGGAGTTCCCTATTAGAAATTTTGGGGTCACTTATGTATACTATCATATCATCTACAAATAGTGAGAGTTTGACTTCAGCCTTTCCAATTTGTTACCCCTTGATGCCCTTTTGTAGTCATTGCTCTAGCTAGAACTTTGAGTAGTATATTGAATATATACAGAGTGGACAACCTTTGCTTAGCTCTCATTTTAGTGGAATTGGTTTAAGTTTCTCTCCATTTAATTTGATGCTGGCTGTAGGCTTGCTGTATATTGTTGTTATTAGGCTTAGGTATGTTCCTTTTATCCATGGTCTCTCTAGGACTTTTATCATGAAGTGGTGTTGGACTTTTCAAAGGATTTTTCAGCATCTAATTAGTAAAGTGATTTCTTTCTTTCAGCTTGTTTTTATGGTGGATTGCATTGACAGATTTTCATAGGTTGATCTGTCCCTGCATTTCTGGGATGAAGCCTGCTTCATCATGATGGATGATCCCTTTGATGTGTTCTTGCATTCAGTTTACCAGTATTTTTTAAAAATATTTTTTCATCTATGTTCATTAGTGAAATTGGTCTATATTTTCCTTTCTTTGTTGAGTCTTACACACCATGTGTGTGATTTGGGTATCAGGATGACTGTGGTCTCATGAAATGAATTTGACAATGTTCCTTCTGTTTCTCTTTTGTGGTATAATTTGAGGAGTGTTGGTATTAACTCTTATTTGAAATTCTGGTAGAATTCTGCATTAAAATCATCTGGCCCTGGGTGGTTTTTATTTTGTTTTGTTTTTTTTAGTTGGAAGAATTTAATGACTACTTCTGTTTCCTTAGGGATTATTGATCTATTGAAAATGTTTATCTGATCTTGATTTAACTTTTATTGCTGTGTTCAAGATGGTATGAACAGATACATTCATCTTCTGAGTTAGTCTATATTATAACTTTAACAGCTGAATTGGGAAGTTGGGAGACATAATTCAGCAAATAATAGCTCCCATCATATGACATGTCCTCCACAGGCTTATGCCTGAACCTGGGTAACTCAATTGGCAGTGCCATTTTGCAAGATTGAGAAACCTTTTGGATGTGTTGTCTAAATGACAGATATAGGACATTAAGGCACGGCCTGAAGATCGTAGGCCGGCTCCACTTCTAGATGATTTTTCTGTTTGTTGATTCACCCAGCTGTGAACAAGCTGTTATCACCACAAGTACAAGCCATTCCTACCACAGTACATTACCTGCTGTGATGGACCACCCTCCAACTGAGAGCCAACATAAATCCTTCCTCAATTCAGTTGTTTCTTGGCAAGTATTTGGTGACAGTGATAAGAAAAGTAACTAATACAATCAACTGCTATTTGAGATAGGAGTCATTGCTATTATAAACTTGACCGTGTGAGTTTTAGATATTTGGATGGTATGAAGACTCAACTTGGAAGGATTTATAACAGCCCAGAGAAGTCCTAGATTTATGTAAGCAGAACTAATGGGCCATTGCGTTGGGAGAACACCAAACAGAAACTGGAAAACAAAGTGAGCTCATATAGTTTCAGAAGAGAACTAAGAGTGAATTGGCCTAATGGTCATTCATATTATATTCTAACATAGAATTTGGCTGCATTCTGCCCATAAAAGCAATATGTTTAAGTAAGTGAGAGCAGTAAGTAGAGCAGAACCATGAAAGAAATAGAAGAAAGGAGTATAAGAGAATGTTAAAGTAGAAGACATGGTTCATATAGGAAAGATATCTGTCATTGTCAAGGAGACTGGCACCATTAGATAGAAACCACAAGATTTACTCATGAAGGAGAAAACAAGGTGTTATGAGGCCAAGATCCTAACCATCAAAAGTGCAGGTTGTGATAATTTATATTTACAAAATGTAAAATGTCTGAAAATGTAGTGCCTTTAGCACATTCTGCTGGAAACAGTAATCTAGGGAAGTGTTTTTCCAGGTTTAGCTGCAAAGTCCCACAGAAGCTGCCTCGGCTATGGTGCAAAGGTACTAGACTACATCGAAAGCTGGCATCATCATCATGGTTTTGGTTTTCTAGGAACATGAGATACAAGAAATTTGAGATCTTGGAGGATTACATGAAATTTCCAGAAAGCTGCAGAGGTCAGCAATGTGAAGCAGGTCTATTTCCTGCAAGGAAGTCCTTGTGGCCATTATGTGAAACTATGAAGGTGAAGTCAAATTTAAATTAAAGAACCCAGGATATTTGGGACATTCGAAATGTGGGACATTTGTCTAGGGAATCTACGGGCACTGAGTAGAACTGCTCCAAGAGAGAGGACACACATGTCACAGATAACAGAGCTTGAAGCTAGCAGGACCCAAGTCTATGGTACAAAAGGATTGCGTCTTCCAGCATTCAGGACAAATGTTCCTTGTTGGTCCTCTTTGTCAATCAATGCCTTCATTGACTCACTGAAATGAATACTTTACCTCTCTCTCTCTCTCTCTCTCTCTCTCTCTCTCTCTCTCTCTCTCTCTCTCTCTCTCTCTTACTTATTACTGGGGAGGAAGACATAACAACTTGCAGGAGTCAGTCTTCACCTTCTGCCATGTAGGAGCTGGGGAGCAAACTTAGGTCATCAAGCCTGGTGGCAGCGGGTTCCTTCATCCACTGAACAATGTTGGCAATCTGAAAAACACATCTCTTTAAATCATTGTGCTGCCATCTTGACCTGAATAAAAAGGGGAAAGGGGTTGCCAAAATAATTCCAGTATCGTTCTCCCTCTGTTTCCAAATCTGTCCAAATGTCAGCTAGCTCATGCCCCCATATATGGGGGCTGCTCCTGCCACCATTCCCTCCTCATCATTATGGACTTTTAACCCCTCAAATATGGTCAAAAAGAAATCTTGAATCCCTTAAGTCATTTCTTATCAAGTGTTTAGTCACAGGAACGAGAAAAGCAAAGAAACGTTTCCTTTTGTTGTTTCTTTTGTAGTAAAACGGAGCATCGGAATCCATCATTTAGTGAAGCCTGTTTTAACTCTGTGTGGTGATATCTGGTTTATACAAATTTTTTTCTTTTTAGACATAAAAGGGGATATGTCGTGATATCTTGCTTGTACAAAAAAAGTGTTTCTGAAGATGAGAGAGTGGAGCTTGCCACTAGTTAACCATAAAGGTCTGGAAGTCTGTACAGACAGACAGGAAGTGAGATGGCTGGGCAGAGAAAGAAATACAGGTAGGAGAAAACAGGAAATCTCTCTTTTCTTCTAGGAAGCTAATGAGGCAAAGCTGACTTCATCTTGTTTCTTATTCTCTCTGATCTCTCAGCATTTTCTCCTATATCTGACTCAGGGCTTTTATTATTAAGTCCTATTAGAACTTGTGTTTGAACACTGTGATTTAGAACAAAGTATAGATTATCTGTTATACTTCATGAACTAAAAAAAGTTAAAAGTAGCAGAAAAGGCTGAAGAAAACTAATATTTATCAACAAAAATACCTAAAAGCATGATGCTATTATAATGATAATGAAGACCACAGATGGTGATGTTTCATTTGAATTTCAAATATTTTCAGCTTTTCAGATGTAGTGAACCAACTACATAAATTTACATAGCAGAAAAATATACATAATTATGTTTCTCTTAGTCCAATCAGAATCAGCAGGACATTACAAATTCTGTTAACATGTCCACTGATGGATACTAAAAACAAAAAGCTTCTTATTGAGGTTATACAAATAAGATAATACTGTTAACACCTATCATATCCCATGGTTTGAAAAAAATAGGTAGTCATTAATATTTCTACGTCATATGTTTTCTATTTTCTAGGATGTCTTTATAGAGAAGTATGTATCATGGTGTATATTTTCTCAATGTTTAACTTTTCTGTATTAATGACTAGGCAAGAAAAAAGTCAATGTCTTCATATTTACCTGGGGAAACACAGGGGAAAGTCACCTAAAAGCTCTCTGTGGTAAGTTCAAAGTTCTCTGCACACTCTTCATGTGCAGTTTGGCCAACCTCTTAGCACAGTTAATGTCTTTAGTGAGAAGTGAGATAAACTAATGAGCAATAGAACTAGCCACATAGATTTATCCAAGGAATATGCTAAAAATAAGATTATATGGGTTTCATCCCAGAATATTATTCAGTATGTCTAGGACTGGGACAAAGAGTCAAAAATTTTAAAGAGACCATTGCCCCATCATTCAGTTCCTGTCATGTTTGGCTTTGATGGAGCGGGTCTACCCACATTTGGTACCTGCTGAGAGAACACTGGCTCTTATAGACCATGGGACATAGGGATCTACTTATGGGTCCATAAGGAGCTTGAGATGATTTGATGTTAATCTCTAGATTGCTAGAGACATTCTACACTTCACAGGGCCCAGAATGGCTGGAGATATACCTTAATGGGTAGAAGTAGTTGCTACACAAGCATGGTAACCTAAGTATGATAAATCTGATTCCACAGACTGATAGAGAGAGCCAATTCCTTAAAGCATTTCTTTGACCTGCACACATGCACCAATGCAATATGCATCCACACTTACACATATATGATATTCTTGCCCCATATTAAAAATGTTTTATAAAAAGGAATTATGTTTCAAATAAGAATAATAGGTAATAGAACATAATTACGTCATGGAGATATAGAAATATACCTAGATGTCCTAACAATTATAAGAAATATTATACCTTAATAATTAAGGATAAGACCCCATTGAAGTTTCCAAATTTCTTGTATGAATTTGCAAAGAAGATAACAAAGATTATTTTCTGTTGGGCCTTTTCCTGGGAGGCATTTTCCTCTAATGTACATAACTCATTTTTAAGGAAAATGTGTCAGATTTTGAAAGATAGAGGGCACACGGCCTAGCTCACAATCTGGGTTATTTCTGCACGCACACACACATAGATGTACATACAATTAAATAGCAGTGTAAGCAGTACAGAAATGAAAGTCAATGGTGGATCACTGAACTGATAGTAATGAGAGTAGTTTCTGTGCATAGACACACAATCTGTGTGCAACATCATTCCATTAATCACTGCTCTGTGAGTACTGGCCAGTTTTCTGGCTTAACACTCATTCATAAATACTCCTTATCTGATAGTAAGTGTTTGGTCTTACAAGTTATCATGTGAAAGGATAATGGCATTTTATTTGTTATCTTGTTAATTACTGAGTTAAATTAAAAGTGCAATAAATCTTTCCTTATCTGAAACACTTTAAAATATATTCCTAGATCTGTTCAAATATTTCTTAAAACATTATGTATTAACTACATGTGAGAGAGCATGTTAGAATCTTCAAGGATTTCATTACAAGCCCTGGCATCCTGTGTCATCAGTTTATAGACAAAGAAGAAAAAAAATATGGGTAGGGCAAGGAAAGAGAAGCCGCTTTCAGAATTTGACTATGCAAAATATAAATTAAATATTGAATCTATCTTTGCCCTATTCCTTATTTGTTGTAAGGAAGCCAGGTACAATGTGAGCTGCTAAACAGAGAGTTCACTGTGGCTACAACCTGAAATCTTCAGGTAACAGACAGATGAATGAATTTGGAAAACAAATCTTATAGAGACTAGACTTCCAAATAATCTATCAATCACAAATGCATGAGAGCCTGAGAGCCAGAGACAAATTAGAAAATACTGCTAGAGAATGTTATTTCAAGCCATTAAGTTTTAAGGTGTGTAGTTATAAAACATTGAACAAACATTACATTTTCCTTGGGAAACCTTTAAAATATACCCTGTCAGTACCAACAAAGCCTCAGGTTAGTGTGGGAAATCTCAAAACTGTTATTGCTAACTTTCAGATCAATTGCCTAAGAATTGGTTTCATGGCACCCAGGTCTAGGTGAGCCACACTTGAAACAAGCTGTCAAAACAACACAATCAAGGAGAAGAGAAACAGAATCCTTTTCATATGGTGGCAACAGAGCCTCTGCTATGACCACACAGTCCTTATAAGTACGTGTGATTGTTTGAAAGAAAATGGTCCCCAAATGGTGTGGCACTATTAGGAGGTGTAGCCTTGCTGGAGTGGTATGGTCTTGTTGGAGGAAATGTGTCACTGTCAAGGTAGGCTTTGAGCTCTCATGTGTGCTCAAAGTACCACCCAGTATCTCAGACCCCTTCCTGTTTCCTGTAAGATGTAGGACATTCAGCTACTTCTTCAACACCATGTCTTCCTGCATGTCACCATGCCCCACCATGATGATAATGGACTAAACCTCTGAAAATGTAAGCCACACAAAATTAAATGTTTAATAAGAGTTATTGTGGCCGCCGGGCGTTGGTGGTGCACGCCTTTAATCCCAGCACTCGGGAGGCAGAGGCAGGCGGATCTGTGAGTTCGAGGCCAGCCTGGTCTACAGAGTGACTTCCAGAACAGCCTCGAAAACAATACAGAGAAACCCTGTCTCGAACCCCCCCCCAAAAAAGAGTTATTGTGGCCATGATGTCTCTTCACAGCAACAGAAACCCCAACTAAGAATAAAATTGGTACCAGGGAATGAGGTATTGTTGGGATAGGTCTGACCATGTTTTTGTTTGGAAGAATTTAGACTTTGGTACTTTGGGTTAGGAAGGCAGTGGAATGCTTTAAGCACTGCTTAATGAGCAGCACTAGTAGGAACATGGGCGATAATGGTGCTGAGAATAATTTGAACTGTAGGTGCTAGCGCAAGATATTTCAGTAGAGAATAATTTTATTGTGTTGACTAGAGATCATTCTTGTGATATTTTGATGAATAATGTGGCTGCCTTTTGCCTTGTCCAAAGAGTCTGCCTGAGGCTAAAAATGAAGACTTTTGGATTAATTCTGTTGACAGAGGAAATCTTAAAACAGCTTAGTATAGACTCTGTTGTACAATCGACTACTAATGGTAACTCTAATGAAGATTTATAATGAAAAGGAGCAAGCTGAGCACGGAAAAATATTTGAGGAGAAAAGAAGCACCAGAAATTGAATGGAGCTAAATCCTGTATTGAAGGAGATAACCAGACTAAGAAATAGAATAAAGGGAGAGGTGAACTCAGGGAAAGGACCTACCCAGGTAAATTTCCAACTTGTGAAAAGGAATTGAAGAAAAGTTAGGTGGCACAGACCTTTAATCCCAGCACTTGGAAGGCAGAGACTGGTGGATCTCTGAGTTTGAAGCCAGCCTGGTTTACAGAGCAAATTTCAGAGCAGTCAAGCTTAGGCAGTGAAGGAAATCATCAAAAAACAGAAAACAGGTGAATATGTAATTGAAAGAGTTCTGAGTTCAAGGCCATCCTGGTCTACAAATCCAGTTTCAGGTCAGGCACATCTTGGCAGTGAAGGAAACCACTAAAAACGGAAAGCTTTGTGAAGATATAATTGAACAAGTGGACCATGTTCCAGCTCCAGAAAATAGCAGAACTCAGCAGCTTTGGCCAGATGGCTCACACTTTAGAGTTAAGCATAGAGGGAGCTAGGGGATTTGATCAATTTCTACAGAAAGCCACTGAGGTCAGGCATGTCTCATGGATGTCCCTGAATGGAAGCATGGAGTGGCCATTGCTTGAAGCTGTGATGTTGAAGCCTAAATTGCCTTGGAAACCCCCAGATGTTGGAGATGCCAAAGCTGTGAGATACATTTTGAAGAAAATTGCTAACAACAAATGGAACTAGCCCAAGAG